GTGGGTGCACATGAACATCTTATCAGTGCTTCCTGGTGCTGCCCACCAGACCTTCACCAAGGGGGTTTGGGAGGCACCAAGAGGACCTACTCTTAGAACAGGTGCAGTGCTGAAGTCACACATGGCTACTGGTAACACCAGCTCTGTAACCACCATGACCTTCTCAGTGAAAGCTGATGTGGAGACAGCTAGGACTATAGGTCCAAGAGACAGGGGTTTCGGCTTCAGGCCTACTGCCGGCTGGTTTCAGAATGTTCCCTTAGCCTTTCTGAGCCTCACTTTCTTTATCTGTAAATGGGTTACTATTGCTTACTGTGAGGATGGATGCCAAATGCCCCTTCTCCTTACTGTTGCCTATCCAGATATCACACAAAACTCATTTAGTAAACAGTTAAAAGCATTGAGGTTGTTTATTGGAGAGGGAATATGGCATTAAAAAGAGACTTTAGAGTATGGATTGCAAATACTGAGTGTGTAGAAGAAGCACTTTGTGAATCAATTCAAGTGTGTTTTAGAAAGATCAAGTGTTAGAATTTGCCCAGGAGGAATGACCCTGGGCCGGGGTCAGGGAATTCAGACGCAGAGCATGGCCAGCAAAGCAGATGTCCTGCCCCTTCCGGCTGTCAACAGCTGACCTTCACTGTTCCCTAACACACATCCCCTTCCCTGTCCTCTTCCTCTCTTTCTTCTTCTTCTCAGGCTTTCTCTCCTCTTCCTCATCATGCTTTCTCATTAAGAGTACACAGAAGACCTGGAGTCTCACCTTGTCCTGATGGAGGTGGGAGACCAGAGTGTGTTTTCACAGGCCTTCCAGGTACTTCTGAGGCACACTGAACTTTGAGCACTGTGGCTCTGCCCTAAATGGCTGGACTCCCTCTGCCTGCAGATCTGTGTCCACAGTTATCTTGAGGCTGAGATTGGGGATGGTGGAGAAGCTTCCTGGGGTGAGCATGGGCATTTGAAGGCCTGTGAACATGCAGGCCTAATCTTTCAGGCTGTGGGGTTGGGAATTGGAGCCATCTTTGTGAAGATGGCGGTCAGCACAGTGGGATGTCAGGTTGGTCAGTGGGACAAACCACAAACTCTTTAAAGCTGTATATGGAGTAATACCTCATATTCTTCTGGAAAACAAGAATGTCTTGCTAGCCAAGACCTGAGCCAAGAGAAAGTAGCCAGTAGACAGAAGTGTCATGCTTTCTTTTATAACCGATGAAGAATAGGACTTAGAGAAACTGATAATTGCTAGATGTTGATGAAGACAATGAATAATGCCTTCAGTTTGTGGTGCAAAAAAGTTATCTGGATACAGACAACCTCATATTTGAAAAGAGTTTCCATGTAAGGGGTCGTCGGCAAGAAGTTCTCTCTTTTGTTCACATCTGGTTCTTTGAAACACATTTTAAGTGCCTTGGTGTGCAAGGAATCATGGTAAGCTCTGTGATATCCCCAGGACTCTGGTTTTGCTCACTCAACATAGTGAATCTAAGGGGCCTACCCACTCAGGTAGTGAGTCTAATGAATGAGGGGATATCATTTTGTCACTTCATGTTTGCCACAAACAAAACTGGTATATTTAACAACGTATACGCCAGGTACAATACTGAATGCTTTACGTGGATTATGTCACAAAAGCCAATATGCTCTGTACTGTTTTACAGAAGAAGAAACTAAAGTTTAGGGACAATTCTAAAAGTCACATAGCCAGTAAGCAAAAGATTTGATGTAGACTCTGACTTTAGAGTCTGTGTAAACCCAATTCCAAAGCCACCAAGTTTAACTAGCATAGAATTATAAGAGGGCAAAATATCATGTTGAATTTTGGATTTTTTTCCTTGTAAAAAAGAAGAGATTGTGATTCTATACAACTTTGGAATATTTGCCAATTTACGAAGCTGGTGATACAAATCAGAAGAACTATTCTGATCCTGTCTGGCTTCTGATGTCTGCTAGACAGCGATTATTTCTTGCAGCTGACCTGCCAAGTGGATGGTGTGTCATTAACTGCTGTAAGCCTTCTGTTATCAACTAGTTTCTGACCATGATTTACCTGGTTCTTGTACCAAAGTGACTGTGGGAATGTGGCCTGCCAAGTTTAAGTACATTCAGCACTATTGAATATAGCTACATGACTCTTGGCAGTTGTGACTTCCTGTTTTCAAGATAAAAGACTCACAAAGATTTACTAGAAAATTTCAGAAGGCTTTGGTGAGGCTATCACACACAGCTCAGGCAAAACACTTAAATAATTTAATTGCAGATGAATTTGAACCATATGAATAGTTTTCTTAACATGCACAGCAGCTTTAAAAAGGATTGCCAGATGATCTATAAAAGATGCTTGCTGGCATATATAACCCAGAATATTACAGAAAAGAAATTTTCAAAAACTTGAAAAACAATGTGGTTGACTTTTCTAAACCCAAATATTTGAAAGAGAGATGCTGTGTTTATAGGGAGGACATTCTCACTTCGCTCTGTGGTTTTCACAGAGACAGTGAGCTCCGTGAAGTCTGAAGGCAGTTCTCCTGGGGCAGAAGTCTCGGGTAGAGAGTCCTTCCTTTGTCCATTTGTTACCTGCTGAGAACGCTGCCTTGTTCATCTTCTGTGATGCCTCCTGGGCAAGGCAGTATGTTCACACTCTAAAGGGAGCCTGTTGGCTCAAAACCTTTGTTTTACATTCATTAGAAGAGGTGGAGGGGTCGATGGGATGGTGCAGGGGATGGGGTTGAGGAACCTAAACAGAACAGGCATAGATGAAAGGGAGTGGGACTTGGAATCAGAATGGTTGAATTCAGGTCGCCACTTGACACTAAACACCTGGGGCTGTTGTAAGGACAACTTCTGTGTGAGAGCTTGCTGCAAGTTCCTTTTATATAGCATCTTGAAAACATACTTGTAAAAAATAGGCAATCTTGTAGAAAATAGGCAATGGATGGGTTGTCAGAGCCAACTTCAGCCCTGTCTCTCTAGCTCTCCAGGGGCCTTGGCCTCATTCTTGAGCCCCATGGTGGATAGCAAGGTTGGAACCTGGGAGAGGAAAGCTGTACAGTCTGAATGGGCAGCTGTTGTCCTTGCCGTTAGACTGTGTGGTTGATGTTTAGTGGGTCAGGACAGAGCCATGGGCTGAGCACCTCAGATGACAAACTTGTACCATTTGTGATGGAGTTTTTTGTCCCTAGAGCTTTACCCCTTCCTCTTCAGGAATCCCTTGCTTTTCCTAAAGTCCAAGGTTCTTTGTTTTTTTTCTTCTTCAGTATTTTACTGTCAAGTGTCAGGGGTTGCCGAATTAGAATCAGGTAGTCTTGGAGCAGAAACCTGCCACTCTTCGTAAGGCTTCACAATGACAACATGGCCTCCAGAAACAGTTTCCATCCTAAGATGCATGGTTGGAAAGATCCCATGACTGGAGCAGAATTCCTGGGCAGAGAAGGCTATCTCTATTCAATGTTTATTTTTTAGCTGACTCACATAAGACCTGTGTGCGTGTTTTCTTTTCTTTTTTTTTTTTTTTGAGTCGGAGTCTCACTCTGTCACCCACTAGGCTCCGGCTATCCTTCCGCCTCAGCCTTCCAAGTAGCTGGAAGTACAGGCACGTGCTACCACGCCGGGCCAATTTTTTAAAATTTTTATGTATTGTAGAGATGAGGTCTCACCAAGTTGCTCAGGCAGGTCTCGAACCCGCGGGCTCAGGCAATCCACTCACCTCGGCCTCCCAAAGCGCGGGATTACAGACTGAGCCACCGAGCCCGGCTATGTGTGTGTTTTCAATAGATTTGTTCATTTTACTGGACTATACTATTGGATTAAAAACAAAAAGCTTTAATAATTACTACTTTATTGGGGGAAATCTTTAGGAAAGGTGTGCCCAGTGACTGACTAGGTAGCTAATCTATAAGAGGACATTCCTTTTGGTGAGATTCAGGATAAGGGAGCCAGGTGTCTGGCATTTCAGCATCTCCGAAGGCTATTTATTTATGTATATTGAAATTCACACTAACTCATGATACTAGTTTTTGTTTTTATGTCTTCGTGTTGAAGCATTAGCTGGGAATTTTGCAGTCTAATAAAATTAGTCAGAAATGATGGGGTTAATGTGTCTAGTGGAGAAAGAATGCTTGGGAAGTAACTGCCTTACCCAATTAGAGAGACACTCCTTCACCTAACTGGACCCCCAAATGAGGGCTAAAATGAAGTCCCTTATTAGAAATGCTTAAGGAGGTACTCACATGGTCCATAACTCTTGTTCCCAAACATACCAGATCCTACTTGATGTAAAAGCAAAATTTTAAACACTAAGGACTGGCCATTGAAATGCAATGCTTTGAGAATGTCAGTGATGAGAGCATTTCTTGAGGTTAACTGGTTTAGCAAGAAAATATCTCAAAATTGATTAATTTAGCACGAAGAAAGCAACAGACCCTGAGGATAGCAGCGATAGCATGGCATCACCAGGATTCCTCTAGAGGCACAAGACTTAGACATGGAAGAAAAATTAAGATCCCCAAATAGAAATCAGTTAGTATTTTTAGCTCTTAATTTCATTGTGAGAGCAAGGAAAGCTAGTCTTTCTAACATTACAGTGGAAAAGCTTTCTGGAAGACAGCTGTAAGTAGCAGATGATGTGTCTCTGGTATATTTCACACTAACCTTTGTCTCTCACCAGAGAATCTATATTTTTGACCTAAAGGGGGCAAAAAGAAATAGCTGAAAAGGAATATTGTAAAATGTCCAAGATTTCTGGCCAACTGTCTCACAACATGGAATGTTTTGATTTGAAGTTCCTGAGTTCTCTTGGTATGAAATGTGGGGAGGAGCATGTGGCTAGAGTGTTGATACCCTCGGGGGAAAAAATGTGTGTGTTAGAATTGGTGACCAAAAATGGATGTTTTAAGCCCAGCAGCTGATTGTTGAGCCTCAGGGTTAGGAAGAACTTTATATATGTGATGGTAAACTCAAAGTAGCAAATTGCCTAATGGCTTCTGTGTCCTGTCCTCTTGAAGAAAAGGAAGTGCCCAACAAGCCCTTGCGTGTGCGCGTCCGGTCCTCAGACGACAGGCTGTCCGTTGCGTGGAAGGCGCCACGTATGTCTGGAGCCAAGAGTCCACGCAGATCACGGGGTTTTCTCCTGGGCTACGGGGAAAGTGGCCGGAAGATGAATTATGTTCCACTGACAAGAGATGAGCGAACACACGAAATTAAAAAGCTAGGTGAGTTTAATATTTATTGGTATCCAGTGTTTTGATGATCTTTGCAGCCATTTCAATATGTAGACACTCACTCAAAGCAGAACTTAGCATCTTAGTTATGATGTCCATTTTCCAGGTATTACAGCCATTCAAAATTATACTCTTTAGTCCATCCCCTGTCCTAGCCTCCATCATTTTAGCCTTTCATTAGTGACAAGACCAGGCTGCCTTCCAAGTGCCCATCAATTGCTTCCTGATTGACATTACAGATTCCTTGAGTCAGGCCATGTTTCTGGACTTGAGACAGCGGGCAATGCTCTTGCCATCTTGGCTCTGTTTTTATCATTTTGTTCTTTGAAGCTTTGTCTTAGAATCCTAGGACATACGACCTTGGTCCCATGGAGATGATACCTGTGGAAGCCAAATGAAACTGCAAGACAGGCCGCCCCCCTTTTTTCCGCACTTGATTATGGAATGCTGATGGCAGCCTTTCCTGTGATCGGGAGAGATTACGTGCATGGTTCTAACCTGGATTGAGTCCTGATCTTTGCTGGCCTTATTCATTGACAGGCCTGGACAGTGAACACAGGCCCAGCTCTGAGAGGGCACTGTTTATTATTCATTGACAGGGCTAGACAATGGACCCAGGCCCAGCTCTGACAGGGGGCACTGCTTATCCCTTAGGCCTGGTGCTTCTCACCCCTGCTACCCCCTTATCTACTTGATGCATTGGAAGAAGCACTGGGTAGGCATGGCTGGGCCTCTTCATGGATGCTTGGGGAAAGCTGGGCTGCAGAGAGCACCCAGAGGCCCAGGGCTGCTTGGGCAGCAAAGCCTAATTCTGGGTTCCATGCTAGAAAGTACACTTGCACCAACTTGCTTTTTACTCCTCATTAGCCTTCTGGCCCTCATGGTTGACTCTTCTGTCATTTCCTAATTGGTTCAGTACTCAGGCAAGGAAGAGAGTGTGATCTATAGGGCTCTCACAGAAAACTCCAGCAAGACCCAGCAATCTCTTCACTTACATGTAGTCAGGCGTCTCAGCCTCCAGCATCATGACAGGTGACAGTGTGGAGGCTGGAGGTGGCAGGTGCAGAGAAGGTCTGAGTGGTGAAGGGAATCACCACTGAGAGGCAGTGTGGTGCCACTGCTTGGCCCCTACTTAGTCTTAAAAGGTAAGATCTTCCATCAGAAAAGATAAGGGATGGGCTGACATGAAAGCTGAGACTGGTGAGACCAGACAGGGGAAGGGGTAGAAGGAAGAGAGAGAAGAACCGCCCAGGAGGAGCGAGTGCTCCCAAGTCACAGCAGAGAGGAACAGTGGTTTGAGCTCAGGACAGATCCTGAGGTGGACAGTGGCTGCGGAGGAAACAGAGCTCTAGGTGTGGAAGACCCTTGTGGGCACTCTGAGGGCTCTATCCTCTTTGCTGAAGATACAGTCACACAACCTTTCGAATCCTGGATATGCAGTTCTGTGCTCCAAGGCCAGCCCCCTGGGCCACATAGCAGACATTCACCAATTAGGATGTGATCAGGTGGAGACACTGAGTGGACGGCTGGGCTAGATTCCCACGCCTGAAATAGCCGAGGACATCCGTGTTGTGTGTGCTGCTGTGTCCATCCACACCCGCCCAAGGCTGTCTTGGAAAAGCTCTGCCGTCTGTTGGGTGTTCCTGGCAAAGACCAGTCCATGGCTTCTGTCTTTGTGTGGCCGTAACATGGTGACCGTGGTAACTGTGAGCCAGGCACAGCATCGAAGCTATCTCAGAGTACAGACTCCAGAACTATTCCAGCAAAAAAGAGACCAGCCATGCTTTTGCTCCAACAGCACATGAAACGTCGAGGGAGTGTAGGAAGAAAAGGAGAAATCTGAGCTGGACGTGTTTTGGGAAAAAGTGAAACTTGAATTAGAGACTCAAGTGCCTGAAACCACAGAATAATCTAGATACTTTTCAACCATTCCTTCCTGAGTCTACTCTTATGCCCACATAGTTTTACTACGCAGCTAAAACAGCTCTATTCTGGTGATGGGGCCAAGGTCTACCCATCATATCTGCAGAAGAATAGATCCACTACTTTTGCATTTCTGACACTGCAGGAGAACATTTCATAAATGGACAGTTGTCACTGTGCAGAGCCCTCACAGATGGCACACATTAAAATGTCTCTTAGTGGCGACAAGTTTTTCATCTTATTTATCAGTTTTTAAAAATTTCTCAGCAGTGAACTGCTGGCTCACTCAAGGAGAGCAGCATTTATTTTTATTGTTGTTGCTTGAATTTGAGCAAATGTTGAACCTGAGGGCAGGGGTGGGTTCCAGTCCTAGCCAAATGGACAGGGTGGCCACTTGGGCTGCTGGGGAAATGCTAGCTTTTGAACTGTCACCACATAAAAACAGTGGACTTACCATCTTGAATGACGTAAAAGGTGATTGTGAGGAGGGGGAAGTCTTCCTGGAAGCTTGCCCCATTATGGGGGAACAGGATGGGGCTGATGTGGATTCTTTGTGGGGGTGTCAGAATAGACCTGCTGTGTCATGGGAAGCCTGTCTCCATATTTATTCTGCATGGGGCTTTCATGCTATTTACAACAGAGATGCGACTGAACCTGTGGTACAGCAGAGAGTGGCCACACATTAAGGAAGCTGGGAGGAGCAGTAGGCCTTAGGTCCTGACAACAGAGGTCCACTTTCTGAGCCATTTTTAAAACACGTCTTACTGGGCATCTTCCATGTCAGGCGCCATCCCTGAGAAGCACCAGCATTGACTTGATGGTCAAAGGAGGCCCCACAGAGAAGATGGTGTTTAAGCAAAGTCCTGCAGCTGGAGGCACCATGGAACTATCAAAGGGAGAGGAGACAGCAGGAGTGGAACTCGAGGGTAGTGAAAGAACGATCTAGGGTAGTGTCTTTCTGCAAGTTATGACAGACCTTTAGAAGTTGAGGCAGAGTGTTTCTGCCCATCACACAGTTGAGGCCAGGAAGTGGGCAGACACGGTGGCACTGGCAGGGGTCCCTAGGGTCAGTGGGCAGGTGACGCCAGATCATTTTGTAGATTTTATTTCCTCATTTTCTTCAGTAATCAGGGGTGCGGAAAGAGGTGAGTTTTTATACCTTGCATGTTCCTCATCAGATCTCAGTGAAGAGGAGACAGACTGCTGCCTGGGTCCCCGCCCCTCCTCATCGTAATTAAGAGCCTAAGCTTTGGAGCTGGGTTTGAGCCAGCCCCTTGAGGAGTCATCACATCGCTCAGCCTGTTTCCTCATCTGTGAAATGGGGATGATGACAATAGCTTCCTTGTGGGATTTCCTTAGGACGAAACGAAGAATTGCATGTGAGATGCTTAGCACAGGGGAGAGCCTTAACCCCACACATGTGCGCTGTCACTATAATTTACTGCAGGACAAAACTTTTCCGTAATGGTAATCTTGGGCCAACTTCAGTTTCAAGTGCTTAACAAATCAAGAATCTGCGCATAAAAAAAATCTAAGAACTTTAAGAAATACATTAAAAACATATACATATTTTTGGTTGTGGGAAATTATTTCTTGATGGTCCTTGATATATAATGGGGCACTGCTTGTCATGTTTAGTTACTTGCAGGTGTTCTCAGATTGTGAGTTTGACTGGGATTTTTTTCTTTGTTTACTTTTGGCACGATGCCATTGTCAATAGCACCAAGAAATTCACGATCTGAAGTGACTCCTTCGTGTGGAAGCTTAGTTTGATGTTCTGTGAGTCCAGGTGTTACAAACCTGATCTCTCCTTTTTATAAAACATACATCTCAAAATCCTCTGTTAGAGTAAGTATAAATAATGTCCTCATGTTATGGCATGAGCATCACCTGCTTTCTCTCTAAAGAGAGAACAGTCTGTCAAATATTATTCCCTTTCCTTGAAACCTCTGATTAGTTGACAGTACTAATAGTCTCTCTGTGTAAGATTTTTTTGAACACAGGTCTCCTTTTGTGTAAAGACAAAAGATTGATTTTTCCCACTGCTGTCTGAAAGTTTGCAATGCCCAAAGAAAGATGTCCCATGTCTTAAGTTCTCCTTAGGATCTTAGCATCACCTCTGTTAATTTACCTAGGTATTACCTGATGATGGAACTATCTGCACTAGAAAGAGGTCAGGTTGCTTTATTTTTGTTTCTGAGTTGACTAAAACTGTGACAAGAAGCTTGGTCAGTGGAGCCTAGAGTTAGGGAATGCAGTTTGGATTCAAGGAAGATTGTGAGTCCTTTGTAGGGGTGTAAGCTTGGGTAAATCACTCAATTGTTGCAGCTTTATCTCCTTATTTGTAAAATAAGACCAAACTGGAGAGTAACCAGAGTTTCACCTGGTTCTCAGACTCTGTGATTCCATGGTACTGGAAAGAACAAGTTTTATTCCATCACTGTAATTTTTTTTCCAAATATACAGTTGTCCCTCATGTACACGGGGAATTGGTTCTAACACTCCCCGCATATGCCCAAATGTGAGCATACTCAAGACCCCGTGGAATCCACATATATGAAAAGATGGCCCTCTGTATATGTGGGCTTGGCATCCCTGAAATACAACCAGATATGTTCTGTTGAAAAAAAAATTCCCATATAAGTGGATCTGCACAGTTCAAACCCATGTTGCTCAAGGGTCAGCTGTACAATTTTCAAGTTTAGGTTAAGTTGGATACAATGGCATCAGTGTACAACTGGAGGGTTAGGAGGGGTAGAAACTAACGGAAATAACCATCCAGAAATAAAGGATACATTGGAGCTCTTCCATTTGCTCTTAACAAATCTTCAGAGACATCCTTCTGAGGATCTGAGTTTCAAAGTGCACAGCATCCCACAAGAAAAGAAAGACCTTCCGGGCCATTGATATGGCACATTGACTGTTCTTTTCTGTCTGGTGATAGATGAAAACAGAGTAACTACCTCTTTTCACTTTTGGAAGTGAAAAGAAGTTGAGGGATGTGGGTAAATATGCCATTCTTTTTTAAAGCGTTGTTTATCTCTTTTCTATGCTGATGAGACAGAAACCCATTATAGGTAAAAATCTATTCCTACTTTCTACCTCATAGTGTTCTTTTTAAGTTTAATTCCTACAGTTCTTGGGCTTGTCTTTGGTTGTCCTGAACAAGTGGGAATGCTCCCAGAAAGGTAGAATGGAAAGGAGTGAAGGGGAGGGGGATTTCAGACTACCAAAGGACGTGTGTCCTGAGAGATCCAAGCCAGAGTCTCATCTCTCACTCCCTGGTCCACAGCCTCAGAGTCAGTGTACGTGGTCTCCCTGCAGTCTATGAACTCCCAGGGGCAGAGCCAGCCAGTCTACAGGGCTGCCCTAACGAAACGGAAGATCTCAGGTATGTTTCTAAGGATGCATTTGGTCAAATCATGGTCTGGTATAAATGCTGTTTTGTTCCCCAATGATGCTGACTGGATAATGAATTAGATGAATTATATTAAGGATAAAAGTAAAAACAGAGCAGACTTGATCCTATTTTGGGTATATGCATGCTACTTTTATACACAGAGGCTGGACTGTTCTTGTCATGGAATATATTGGGATGCCCAAAAAAGGTATACACATTTTAAGAGATGTTAAGAGATGTTTGTAATCAGAAGTGTCTGCATGCTGATGGTAACCATTTTGAGCACCTCTTGTCATTGCAGAAGTCAAATGTGACTTGTATTCATCTAAAATGTTAATATAGTTTTCTCCTTTCTTAAAATGTGTATACATTTTTTGGCACCCTCTGTATTTCACTGTATATTTTGAGTGGCTTCAATGTGCAAATTTGCAACAACAGGAATAGCCAAGCATTTATTCCATGTAAAGGCACAGTCTGACCCATGCATAAACTGCCCTTGGTGATATCCTTGATAATGAACAAAGTGACAGAAAGAAGAGCAGGTGTGTGTGGGGGGGGTGCGATGCAAGGTAAGCACACAAATGTTATTTAAGCTAAATTTGCATAGAAATGGCATTGAGAAAAGTGAGAAAAAACCAGATTGTTAAGTGGTTTGCTGACAGCCTGGTCATTTTCCACTCACTAAGGGATAGTTTTTTACCCATGCTCATTCATAGATTTTAAAAATGTTACTAACAAATTAACCAATTACATATGTCTTGATTTAAAGAGACAATGTACAACATAATTATTTTCATGAATTCAATGTAAAATGAAATATGTTTTACATTGCATAAAGTACCACATAAATGATGTTTCACTTTTAATATTTATTAATTGCTGCCACAGAAAAAGTCCCTGTGTCACTTTTCTAACAGGTTAAATATTTCTACCTTCCCTCGATTGTGGTAAAATCCATATCCTTTTGAAACATGGGCCCTGGAAAGTGAAAAGAAAAAACAAAATAAACACAAACCAAAACAAAACCCCAAGAGATTAAAAAGTAAAACTGAAGACATCTTGTGAGTCCTAATTTGTTGGAAATTGAGCGAATACTACAAGCTTTGTGGCTATGATATATTCTATTGACAACAAAGATAAATCTGTAAGAAATCAGCAAGTTGGATTATACTTCATATCTGAATATGAGTTTTAATTTGCCTTGGAATCATATATTCTAAAATGTGGACCCCATGTGATTCTTACCATTGGTTGTACCAGAATTTTCATTTTGTGCCATGATGGCTAAAAAAAAGTGAATTCAGGTTTTCTTCCTCTAAACTTTTGCTTCCCATAAACACACTAAATTACTCAGAGTATCTTCAACCAGGGCAAAATATCCCCTTTATAATGTTCTATATGTTGACTGGTTTGGGCGGCTTTTCAAATGAACTTCCCATTTTTTAGGCTGTGTTTAAGAAGAGCCAGAGTGGAGATTTTTGTTTTTCCACAGTGGCCAATCAAATGCCTGCTTAACTTTCTATCCATTTCATTTTGTCTACATTAAGCTTAAGCAATCTAAAAATTATACTGGGTGGATAATAGACCATGAAGGACAGAGGAACTCGGGGCAGAGCCTATTGTGAGAGAAAGCCTATGGGTCCCCTTCTGTCATTTCAGAAGAAGATGAGCTGGACATACCTAAAGACATCAGTGTCCGGGTTATGTCATCCCAATCTGTGCTTGTGGCCTGGGTGGATCCTGTCGTGGAAAAACAGAAGAAAGTTGTTGCATCAAGGTACTTTTGTTTCTTTCTTTGTCTTTATGTGTGAGAGATGTAGTTTTCCTGGTCCTGAAAAGACATGCACTTAATGATTTTATTTTGTGACTTACATGAATCCTGGCTCCTTTTGTAGCTTAATGGTAGAATAGTCTATGGCAATCTAGTTAATCCTGAATGTAGTTCCACATTTTCCACAAATCTGATGTCACTAGGGCCTCGTGTGTAATACAGCAGGACCTCACATCTCACTTGCTCAGAGTTTTAGCTTATATCTGGAGATTTCTAGATTGTTTCTTTCTTTGCCTCATTTGTGTTTTGCTTTGTCTCATTAATGTTCTGTTCATGTTCAGATCCATCTTGGGAGAAGTCTTACCCCTCCTCCTGTTATCCAGGAAGAGCTACAGTAGGACAGATTTTATGTATAATGGCAGGCATTTGTCTAATGCCTTAGAACTTAGTAGTTCCTCATTAGACATTTGCTGAACACTGAATTGCTTCATGTCCAGCTCATTTGTGTATAACAAAATGCACCTTATTATCTCATAGACCATGATGTTATGTGATTCTGGTTTTTATATTCATTTGCAATAGTAACAGAAGAAAAACCAATCATAAGGTTAAAATAATTTTTATGTTAAAAGGTCCATGGTGAACTCATTTCTTGTTAGTGGTAGATTAATATAGCCATCAAAATTTTAAGTGTTCAATGTCTAAATAGTTTATATAAGCAAGACAATGCCAAAGACTTGGTGGTCTGGTTATTATGTATTAAGTTTTGAACCTATCTGCAACCAGGAGTGGAGAATGTACTTTACAATCAATGGAATATAATGCAGAGATCATATATATACATAATAGTTATCATTATTAGATATATAGTTTCCTTCACTATCTCCAAGTAAAAAAGACATCTGCTTCTTCTAAAAGACCTCAGAAGATTCATAGTGATTCTCTCCCCAGCCATATGGCCTTTCCCAACACAAAGTGTTCCTGTTACCATTGACTTTGCTTTCTAACGTCCAGTTGAAAACCAGAGAAAGCTTGAGTTTTCTTAACAGAACTAGTGTTAGTTGATGTACCATATCTTCAATTGAAGTCTTCTCCTGATGTATTAAATATAATGAATAGTACATTTTTAATGTATGAAATATTTTATACTACAAAGAGGCCACAAAGAAAATGTCCTTTAAAAGGAATTCAGCAAATAATGTTTGCAGCTCTTAGAGTGTTGGGGATGTCTGGTGTCTGGGAGTGCATTTCCCTTTGATGATCATACATGTACCTTTTATAAGCTCATCCATCCTACACTATTTGCTACACATTTTTTTCCTTTTCATGGTAATAAGTCCACTCAAAACCACATGTTCTCTTTCCATCAGAAAATATGTCTGATTTGACATGAAATTAGCCTTTTTTGTCTTCCTTTTCTGGAGAGCCAAGATACCTTGGACCTGTTTTGGTCCTTGTTGGTGCTTCGAGTTGACACCAATACAGACACAAACATACACATGTCCCTTATAAGGCAGTTGCTCATAACATGTCTTCCTTTTCTCCCTTCCCTTTGTAACCTCTGCTAGACCTTTTGAGCAGTAAGACTTCTCAGTCTTGAAAAGACACTAAGTTCCATCTTTCCTGGTCTACTTGAGACACATTCACCTTGAACTTAAGTATACTCTTTGAGCTAGTAGCATAGTCTAAAGTTTATTTTTCTTCTCCTTTCTGATTTCCTTACTTACCCCTAAAAGGAGAAACAGCAAGAAATCTAGTGTTTAGTTGCAGAGAAGTTGAATACATTGTTGTCTTGCATTTTCTTATAGACAGTACACTGTGCGCTACCGAGAGAAGGGGGAATTGGCCAGGTGGGATTACAAGCAGATCACAAACAGGCGTGTGCTTGTGGAGAACCTGATTCCAGACACTGTGTATGAATTTGCAGTCCGTATCTCACAGGGTGAAAGAGATGGCAAATGGAGTACTTCCGTCTTCCAAAGAACACCAGAATCCGGTATTTGAAATGCCTTTGGATTTTCAATTCAGGAATTGATCCTAAAATAAGATTTAAAGACAGTTTAAGAAGTCACAAGTGACAAAGGCCAGCATGGGTGTTTTTGAAGTCACATTAACCTAAATCTTGGTCATGTTTCTAAGTATAAATGCAAAGAAGTTAAGAAACTGTTTTCTTGGGTCCATGTTTTACTCTTTGCTGGTCTTTTCCACTAGAATGCTTGTTCATGTTGCTCTGACATGAGGACCACATTCAATCCAGTAGTGTAGCATACATAAATTACCACTGTATCATGAATGCTTCTGGGCGATGCATGGCTCTTGTGTTTAGGAGAGAGTCTTCTTTCCTGAGTCTGAAGTTGCCTTTGGTTCTGGGGGAGAATTTTGCTCTGTATCCAAGGCTGTGATTCTTTTCTTTTAAACTATGTTCTTAAAAGTTTTATTAAGAAGTTGAAACAATATTTTAATTTTCTCTGTATACTTTGATATTTAGCAATGAGAGATATTCTGAATTCCTGAAAGTGTTTCCTAAATATGTCTAAACTCACTATATGAGTTGGGTGAAGTGACTTTTAAATCACTACATTACACAAGACCAAGTGCAGACTTTTCTGTCATGTATAATAAAAATGAACACAGTAGCTCTCAATTAAAAAATGTGTACATAGAGACTACATGCCATTCGCTTTTAGGATATCCACAAGGGCATCGTTAAATGTTTGATTCCTTGTCATTGTGTAGCTCCTACCACAGCTCCTGAAAACTTGAACGTCTGGCCAGTCAATGGCAAACCTACTGTTGTCACTGTATCTTGGGATGCACTACCTGAGACTGAGGGGAAAGTAAAAGGTAGGAATCTCATTTCTTAAACTGTAAGATACACTGATTCTGATAAACACTGCCTCTACTCACAGCTTTGGTAAATGAGAAATAGCGAGGCAGCATACATAAAAGAGTTGCTAACCCAAGGGACAAGGATATGTCATGCAAGGTTTTCATTGTCTAAGATCCAGGTAGTCACGAAGGTGATTATTCTTTTCATCTTCCTATAAAGAGTTGTTAGTGTTGCTGTCTGGAGGGATGTTTTAAAGTGCATGAATGTGGCATCATAATCTTTAACCATCCACATGATTCTCTGGCGTTCATGCAATGGGTCTTTTAATAATGCCAGGAAGAGCCGGGCTCGGTGGCTTAGCCTGTAATCCTATGCTTTTGGGAGGCTGAGGTGAGTGGATTGCCTGAGCCTGCGGGTTCAAGACCCGCCTGGGCAGCAAGACCTCATCTCTACAATAAATCAAAAAATCAGCCGGGTGTGGTAGTGCATGCCTGTAATTCCGGCTACATGGAAGGCTGAGGCAGAAGGATCGCTGGAGCCCAGCAGGTCGAGGCTGCGGTGGCCGGAAGCGGCCACTGCACTCCAGTCTGGGCGACAGAGTGAGACTCCAACTCAAAAAAATAAAAATAAAAAAATAATAATGCCAGGAAGATCATGAAAAGTATGAGTTAGTAAAAACCCTATAGAACTATAAATATCTTTAATGGTACCATAAATATATTAGATGGATTTGAAACACTCAAGTAATAACTGCTAAAAAAATTAGATTTATTTCCTATTCATCATCATTTATTTATTTATGTCAAGGAAAAAAAGTAAAAATGAAAAAATCTAGAGATTAAAAAATAAAACAACCGGGCTCGGTGGCTCAGACTGTAATCCCGCGCCTTTGGGAGGCTGAGGTGAGTGGATTGCCTGAGCCCGCGGGTTTGAGACCCGCCTGGACAGCGAGACCTCATCTCTACAATAAATCAAAAAATCAGCCAGGCATGGTAGCGCATGCCTGTAATTCCGGCTACTTGGAAGGCTGAGGCGAAAGGATCGCCGGAGCCCAGCAGGTCGAGGCTGCGGTGGCCGGGAGCAGCCACTGCACTCCAGTCTGGGCGACAGAGTGAGACTCCAACTCAAAACAAAACAAAACAAAACAAAACAAAACAAAACAAAACAAAACAAAACAAAATATTCATACTAGTTAAATTTTATAATAGTCTGTTGAGGATGCTAAATAAAGGCACAGATCTTTTTATTGTAAAAGCACTCAAGAACCTTTCAAAAGTCTGTTTGGAGACATTATAAAGAGTGACATTGAGATTTTTCTGTGCATTGCCTATACAAATGTACCCGAAGGGTAGGAAAGATGGGAGCTTTTAGTAAAGAAAGAAATATTTTTTATCTTTGGGGAGACAACTTTAAGTCGAATATGTCCAGAAACTCTAAAAAGTTTGTGTAATCTCAAAGAAATCCAGAAACTTACTACTAATCTCCTATGAAAATTTTTTAATTGAAAAAATTGAATTTTTAAAAATTTAATCATAAGTTATCTTTGCTGACGTGATATGTCTTTTCATGCAACAATAGAAGTTATGGAAGGTAGACATGGAATGATATTTTCTATATTTAATGCTTTTTCACTTCCCAGTTTATTAGGAGTAGATTGTACTATTCTTCTTGCTCATTTCCCCCCCACTGGAATAAATTAAAAACAAATGAAGATAATAAATGTTTGCTTGGTACCTTTAAATAATTTTTTTTTATGACAATTTGAACATTGACTTCCTCTGCATTAAGTATTGTTGTGATGCTGAAAGGCCTCTGAAAATTGAAGAAAGATAGTTTTTGGCTGATGCCTTTTTTTTTAGTTTTGAAAGAGTCAACTATTACACCTCTAGTGACTATTCCCATGCTACTTATTTGTTTTTCGCTCTCCTACATCTTAGTTTATATTTAAGGTTCTTTGCTAAAAGAAACTCCCTGGTAGTCAATTAAATATTGCCAAAAAAGTAATAGCTACTGAGTTTTTAAGTACAAAAGAACTCACGTACCTTAACCCTGCTTAGGTAGTTTTCATAAGGGTTGTAGTGGTGGAATTGAAATTCATAATTATACTGGGACATTTTCTATGTATAACAAATACAAAATATAATAGAAGAATATACTTTGACATGTTTACATTTTTTGCTCAAATGGATTGAATCAATATGAAATCTGAATTACAAAATTTTATAGACAATGGGTTTTCTTAATTCTTACTTTTGACCATCACAAATGACTAGTTTGTTCATTTTCAATGAGAAAAGAATGTTGTGGTTCTTTTTTTTTCTTTTAGACAAAAAAGTGCTGCAGAGGAATTTTTGGCTGAAAGTTTTACAAATTAATTTACTTTTAAAAGATTAGAGATTAGGGAAAAGAAAAGCTCTCCCATGCTCCTGATAACTGCTTGATTTTTCAGGATTCAAATTGTTTTTCTTAGCTCGTATTCATATTAATTTGATAATTTTATAAATTTGAGTTCATTGATAGAAAAATAGGCATGACAGTTTTTAGTTGAAGGTGAAAATTGTTTTAAAATATGACTTCATTGTGTTACAACATTTCTATGTAAGCATGGAGATATTTTAGTTTCTTAAACTGAGTTTGCTGATTTTCAAAATTCAAGGGTATTATATACTTATAGATATAGCCAAGTAAAGATGGAAACATTAGACATCACATAAATCTTTTACTTAGCAACATTTCTTCACAGTTTTAAATACTGTGAAATATCCTTATTAGCATATATTTAATAAAAACGTTTAGAATTCCTACAAAAGTGAAGTTATATTCCAAATATGGATTTTTCTTACTGGCTTAATGTGCTAATAGCAGCAACCCAGTTTAATAAACTGAAACTCTTGCAGATGTCAGCAGCTGTTCAGAACCAATTCCTGGCAGTTGTCTCTTCTTTTGCCTTGTTTTTTTCTATTCAGGATATATCCCATCATAGCAAATTAGTAAATACAGTGTTTTAAAAACTGCACACATTCAGTGTAAAGTTTTTGGGGAATTGTATGAAGACTGCCCTCCTGGGGTCCATATGTTTGATTTGCTTAAAGTAGCAAATTGCCAGCTACTTAAAGACATATGCCTGTCTGATTGCCTGAATGAATGTGGGTTCACCCTCTGCTGTGTCTCCATGCTCCAGTTGGTGACTGGCATGCATTGCTAGTGCATTAATTTTAGTAATACACATTCTAATTCATCCTGCCCATACAGTCTGTCTGTTGGATACAGGACTGTTTTCAGTTTCCTTTTTTCAACCATCTGCCCAATCATTTCAGAATACATTCTTTCATACGCCCCGGCTCTCAAGCCATTTGGAGCAAAGTCCCTCTCCTATCCTGGAGACACTACTTCTGCCCTGGTGGATGGTCTGCAGCCCGGGGAACGCTACCTTTTCAAAATCCGAGCCGCCAACAGGAGAGGCCCAGGACCTCACTCCAAAGCCTTCATTGTCACTATGCCAACAAGTAAGCATTGTGTGTTGTGTCTTTCTTCTTTCTCTCCTCATTCCTGCTATTTGTGTTTCTTTGAATCATGCTCCTGGGTTTAGCACTGCTCAGCTGATGACTTTCTGGGCTAAGTTGCTACTGATTTCTACAATATTTTTGTGGTTCCTTTAGAAATTAGTCTCTCCAAAGACTAAAATGTTATTGATTGCTGATAACAATTATTATTACAATGTCATTCATGTATTATTATATGATGAATCTTATATCACTTTTTACTTTTGGACTTGTGGTGACGGGAAGAGAAACTGTACAAGTGTCACGTGACAATTTTCATCCTTAGCGCTCTTCAATTTCTACATAGCACTAAACAGTTTTAGTTTGTTTTAGGAATGCAGCTTTACTCAGAAGGATTTCAATTGTCTAGCTTATCTGATCAATGTCAAGACCAAACAAGTTAATAAAGATCCAAAAATGGAGTGGTGTTTTGAAACCAGGCATTCTTTTCTGCTTTCCCATATTTACACCAGATATTGGCAGCTCCCTCCTTCATTATGTGCTGTGAGGACCCACCATACGAGGGGGACCCCCCAAAAACCGGAATTATCTTTTGGAGGGTGGACCCCCTGTAGCACAGGCTTCCCCCGCTAGGTAAGTGTTATAGGAATCCATTGGCATCAGTGTACCAGCTAGCCTTGTGAGAGACAGCGTTCAGCTTCAGTGAATTTTTTTCTGGATATTCTTTCAACACGTTTGCCCGTTTCATGAGGAGTGATTTAGGAGCACACCTGGCCACACTGTGCTGAGTGTGCAGCAGTTTTTGACCAAAGATGGCATGACCCTGTGCCCCACCTTCCCTCTTCACCTGATCTCGCCCCGAGTAACTTGTTTCGTTTCCCCGAATGAAAAAGTCCTCAAAGGGAGTGGTCTGCCAACGTAGAAGAGGTGAAACAAAAAAACAACAGAAGAACTAAAAGGCATCAAAATGGAGGAGCTCAAAAACTGTTCTGAGCAGTGGGAAAAGCAGCTTGATAGGTTTATTACATCAAACGGAGAGTACTTTGAAAGTGATGGAAGTTTCAACATGTAAGAATAAACACACAATTCTTTATAAATAAATTCCAGGTTTTTTGCAGGGAGCACCCCCTCGTATACTGCAGCATTAAAGTTCTATCCTGGAAAAAACTGTGACAGAGCTGAAGTTTGCTCCCCTTGGGTTCCCCTTGCCCTTGAGTCCCCTCCCCATGTACTGTGCCTTCCCTGAGTCAGTCCTGCTCTGAAGACAGAGTGTCTTACGATCTTTTTAATATAATGTTTGCCTATCCCAAGAGTCGTTTTATTCTAAGCCTCATTTTAGAATTATCATTTTTATAAAAGTATCCATTATTGAAAGGAACTTTAAGCAAGAAGGAAGAAACAAGTAAGGACATGTTGGAGGAACAGAGAACTCTTTGTAATGCTTCAAAATTACACTTTGGTTACATGTTCCCTTATTGTCTATACAGATCATTCAGCATTTTGCACCAAGTGTCTATGTATTTCTTGCCTATTAAGAATAGCGATAGGCTGGGCTCGGTGGCTCAGCCTGTAATCCCGTGCCTTTGGGAGGCTGAGGTGAGTGGATTGCCTGAGCCCACGGGTTCGAGACCCGCCCGGGCAGCGAGACCTCATCTCTACAATAAACCAAAAAATCAGCTGGATGTGGTAGCGCATGCCTGTAGTTCCGGCTACTTGGAAGGCTGAGGCGGAAGGATCGCCGGAGCCCAGC